GTATACGCTTTGCTAATTGTTTGTCACAAGTGTAAAAAATTATTTTAGAACATTTTGTGATAAATTTACATCTGTTAGTCGCTTTCCTACGGCTTCATTAGATCAGTTAATTTTTTTGCGTTTCAAGGAACACGTGTAAGTTATGTATTCGTTTATGTTACTTTCTGAGTAGTTTTGTCGAAGTCTTTTCTTTCTTTTGATATTTGGTTACTTGAATTGTTTGTTTAAATTGGGTTAAATTGTTGTAAATAGTGAAGTGAGAGAGTTACGTTTTTTAGTTGCTGACCTAAGTTTGCAGTTACATTGTTTGTGAGTTTTGCGATTTGCTAATTGCTTTGTTTGAAAAATATACAAACTCTCCATTTCTTTACCTTGAAGAATAAAAATCATGCTCCCAAATTCATCCTTTGTTATTTGAAATTAATAAATAACTTGATAACGAATTTTCCACTAAATATATTTCATCTTCACTATCCATTTTGTTTTCAAAACAAACAAAATAGAGCTGTCAATTCGTAAACAATGTAAACGCAACATGCAATGTGTTCTCATGAAAAAACATATGTACGAACACGCAAGACAAAATTCGCATGCAATGTAACCGCAGCCTAAAGGTGCATCCACACTAAAGCGAACGCTTACGAACGAACGAACTTTTGCAGGCACCATTACCTGCGTATGTAATGCCAGTGCAAACATATTAAAATAGACTATTAGTATCACGCTCAGACTAGTAAATTAACAACTATTAGATTTTGTATATAAGGCCGTGTGCGAGTTCGAGTAATTTGAGGTAAAGTAAATTGAAATTTTCTAGGGATTTTTTGCACTGTACTTATGTAAAGATTTATTTATTTATTGCACTTAATTACAAAGTAGGTTTTGCTTTATGTTTTTAATGTCAGTATTGACATACAGTTTTCTTTTTATATAAATATAGTATTAAGAAAATGTACATATTTATACATACGTTGAAAATATAATACGTACAGACAAAACATTTATATATATGTGCACTGTTTTTAAATTATTAAAAAATTCGCCTATAAATATAATTATATACATATATTTATTATTGTAATAGAAAAATTTTATATCATAATTGTTTTATTCTTAATTGTCAATTTCTTTAAATTTCAATGCTTAAAATTTACTTCATACATCACTGAACGTACTATACGGACGCTCTTATTTGAAATAAGAAAACGATGTAAAAGGCGAATGCATTGCAAATACAGATAGCTTCGAAGAAATTTAATGGTAACTATTAACAAATTTATAAACAATTCGTTGAGTGATATTAAAAATTTCACAGCTATTTAGTGCCTTAAATATTTATTGTAAATTGAGTGTCAGAAAATCCGTACAGGAGAACAAAAGCAAAACTGACAAGTGACGCTGTCGAAATTAACAAGCAAAACAAACGCAAATAATCAAAATTAATTGCGCTCGGCATTTCATATAAATATTTATAATTCGTTTTGTGTTGGCAATCATTGATGTAGTGTTAAAATAGTTGCTTTAAGTTTATAGCAATTGCCAGCAATATAAAAATCATATTAATATCACGAAATATTTATTTGTTTAGCAAAACCATGTTACCTACAAGTGTTCGGAAATCGATTCGATTCTCTGATGCCAGGCTTTATACTGAAAACGTAACAGAACTTCCACCAAATGATGATGAAGAAGAGCGACGTTTGGCACGTCGCCGTACTTTATTAAGGCAAATTTTGATGGATGAAAACCAAAATCTAGAAAAATGTTTGGAAATTTATAAAGACAATAAAATAAGTCGTGATAATGCATGGTCCTTATCAGTTATTGATACATTGACTGTTTTGCTTGAGCGTCATCAAAACTTTTTGAACAACTTTAGGGTAAGTATACTTATGTGGGTTAAATATTGTTTCTGTTTAAAACTTTGAACATAATTAAGGTTGCTTGTCCTTCGCTAGAAGCTTCATCAAGGGTATATGGTTTACGCGTAGACTCTATATACGGAGACGTTATGCGTATTTCCGCAGGTTTAGCTGCAAAAAAATTTAGCAGCAAGAATGCAGAAGTTGATGGTATCGACGATGTTGATGATTCCAATGACCGAACTGATATAGCTAATAAATCGGTCGCTGAGGCGCAACCGGACACAAATGCTAATCCACCTAAACCAAAAAAGCGTGCACGGCGACAAATAAGCACAATTACGAAAAATAAAGACACTTTAAATGGTTTATTAGAAACTGTTCCAATGGATGATGTCATCTTTGGCAAACTTAATAGAGTTGGTGGCTCAATAAATTCATCCAAACGTTTAATGAATAATGTGTTACCGACAAACGATTATGATTTAAAGTTGTGTACAAAGTTTAGTTATTGGACGGGGATTGAGAATGATAACACCGATTATACATCAGAAATTGAAGGTAATTATGCCCAAGATGATGTCCCTGCAAATGTATTTGGCGAAATTGAAAAAGAAGAAACTGATCTTAAAAATAGTGATGTGGATAAATTTGACGAAATCAGGGAAGAAGGTGGTGAAAATGAAGGAGAGATCTTGCACAAATGCTCTAAAAACTTATTTATTAGATCACTACATACTGGTTATATTATTTCAAAAAAGAATAAAATAAAGTACGACGACGAAAAAGAAAATACTTCTCCACTTAATGTGAATGATCCCGATGACACTCCACGAGTTTTAACACCATCTGAATTAGCTGTGCAATTTGACATGGATGCTGAATGTCAGCCAGTATGTCTTGATCCGGAAGCACCTATGTTAGATGTTGATTTCTGTGAATATGATGACTTAACATCAGGTAAATTATCTTTTTTATATTGATTTAGTAAACTATATAGAAACCTAATATTTATTCCAAAAATAAAATGTTCAGATAAACGTAGAATTGTAGTAGCTATGTACTATACCCTTAGTATTATGGTGTGTATTTATTTTTTTTTTCCTAAGTAAAAGAAATACATAATTTTATTGCATAAAAATCATTTTACAACATTTGGACACTGAGACAGTAATATTGAGAAGTATACAAGTGTTGCATTTTTCTTAATTAGTGACGTTGTGGGCATTCTAGAAGATATTTCCAGATATTGATATTCTCAGACAAGATTCTGGAAATTTGTAAAACTTTTTTATTTTACTTATTAATTTTAATGATTTCGAAAAGTTTAAATAGGATGAGTTCTACTCATTGCAACACTATTCAACTATTCATCTCTGTGGCACGTAAGACAGCATTGTATAGAAAAGAGTTGATGAACTTCTATTTAATAAAAAGTATTTTAACTTTGAATAAAAATGGTATAGAACTGACAATGATAAATTTTAATATGAGTATTCATATTGTGCTAAAGATTTGCCTTCCTACTAAACTTTTCTTGTTCTTAGACTAATAGTAGCTAGCAACCTCTTTCTGAATATTGTTGATACCTTTCAATTGACCGCATAACGCGCGGAAAATGTGAGCATACTGTTAAGGATTTGAGGTTTAGTAGTTGCACGGTTCAGGAAATACAAACGGTTCAGGAATGTTTCAAAACATTCGTTGATTTAATTTTGTTTCAATAACCAATTTAGAACTAATTGGTGATGCATCTATATATATATAATAAGGTTTTTTTGTAATAAAATTTATGTAAATAGTTTACAACATTATTATTGATGCTGTTTTTCAGATAAAAGATATGTAAGCTATATCCAAAAAGTGAAAAAAGTCGCACAGAATAGTCCATTTCCCCAAAATTCGACAACCAGAAAATTAAAATTTATGACATTTTGGTCCAGTGGAAATAAGCGGCAAAATAGAGAAGATGGCGATTCTGCCACTTGAGCGTATTAAAATATAATGAGTAATGTACAATAGTCAGTAGCGTCGCTTAAACGACTGCTCATATGCACCGGTGTATATATATACATATATATTAATTTTTAAGCCTGTTTAACTTTAGTTTTTGGTCGGTTTAGTAGTTTTCTTTTTTTAATTTTGATTATACCCTATGCGCTATTATTTGGAAAAGTGAATTGATTTGACGAGCTAATGAAATTAAAGTGTCAATGTCAATACAAATTCACTATATTTAATATCAAAAAAAAAGCGTCAAAATTATATGAAATCGTTAGTAACTAATTTTCATTAATTCATTAATTACATTAATTAAAAAACATAAATATCTAATTAAAGAATACTGAAGCTTCATTTATAACTAATTTTTTTTTTTAAATTTCAATATTTTTTTAGAGGAAGTAACTGCAATAAATAGATGCCGAGGTTTACGCCATTCAGCACAGATTATGGAGGATTTACGTCCTACTGATTCTTCATCACAGTTGGAATATTCGTATCGTCCTCTAAATAAAATCTCTAGATTTTGGGCTGGTCCGTCCCATTGGAAATTTAAAGGACTTCGCCCAAGTCAGTCTACTTTACTATTTTCAAGTAATACTCAAAATGGTCGACTAATAAATCAACGGGCACAACGTGCACAAGTGGTTAAGACACGTTCAAAACCTCTTATATTTGGAGTAGACGGCGACGAGAGTTTGTATCTGCCTTATGACAAGGCCACAAATAAACAACGCCGTGCTAATATACACAAAAAATGGGACCAACGCAAATTAAAACTACCTACAGATTTACTTGTTAATAAAAATACATTTATGCGAGGCTGGCTCGTACCTAGAGGTTATGACATACAAAATTCAAATCTTCGTAAAACGGTGGCTAATAAATCGGCTGGTACTATTGCGAATTCCGTTGTTCAGCCTGGTGATGATGAACATTGTGCGGATAACGATGTATTCATAGATCATCTTGACATGTTATCAGATACTGAACATTTACAGAGAGATGATGTAGGTGTCGATTCTGAATCGCAGGAGTGCAACGATACGGTGTTGGAGATTGCTACAGAATTTGATGGAGCACCTTCTCAAGTAAGCATTGCATTATATAAACACAATTTAGTAATAAAAATTCATTAACACATATTTTTTTAAGTATCTTTACTAAAATTTTGTTCCTCAAATTTAATTATAATTAATGGTAAATATACAGTACGTCAAGAATGTGTTTACACATTGAAATAAAATTCACTTCTTTAACTTATAATCGCAAAAATACTGCATTTCGTTTAAATATAACGATTTTTGTGATTAATTTTTAATAATTGATAAATTGAAAATATAAACATAAAAAAATGTTCATTAGTTTGTTGAAAAAAAAATGGAATGTACAACAAAAATATATATCCTACATCATTTTGTGACTGTCAAATAACTGTTTACATAAATAATATAAAGTTGTTTAATATAAGCTTTATTCAATGGAAACTTTTTCATATAATGTTTTAAATATTTATAATGGTCTTTTGTAGTATCTTTGATATAACATATTGTAGCCTTTTTTTATGGAATTAACCAAGTCTCACGTTGTTGTTGCTTAGTATCAAATTTCACTTTTGCAGTATTATGGTTTTAGGTAACCTCTGGGTTTTTCGTTGTTTTTGACGATTTTTGATGAAATTTAAAATGTGGCTTTTCCTTTTAATGGCCCAAATATATTCGCATTTTTTATTAAATGATATTCCAAACTACTTTAATATTTTTGGGTGTCCTTATGTAAGGGGAATCCCCAGTCCTTCTGCTTCAAATGAAGCGTCAAATTGTAACACATCATTTTAAAAATTTGACAGGAAAAGTGATATTCCATTTAATAACAATATAAATACCTTAAAGCATGCTTGGTAGGTTAATAACGCAAAGCACAATTTATGCCTCATAGGAGATTATAACATTGTCTCATTATTTAAAAAAAAAATAAAAAAAATTAAAGTAGTAGACAAATATTTTGTACAAAACGCGATAAATTTTAACTAAAAACTCTTGTTTAGTGTTTGTTCCGCGTTATGGCCCGACGCTCTGTTATATAAGAAACAACAACAATATATTCTTCCGTAAGTTCCGTAGTATAGACTCAGGTCAAATGTTCCTGGTTTTTTCATATTTTCGTCATGATAACATATTCTGCATTCCGTAGTATAGACCCAGGTCAAATGTTCCTGGTTTTTTCATATTTTCGTCATGATAACATATTCTGCATATGCTGTGAAAGTTGGTCTTAACGATAATTTTATACATTGGCTCTAATCTACTCTCTTATTCAGCTAGATTTAAAATATTATAAATAGTCCCACATATTAGTAAAATATTTCTCATAGTTTCCCCAAGTGGCGGCTATAATACCTGGACACCACTGCAAACGATAACGTTTCATTTTACAATTAAAAGTGAAAAAATTAGAAAACAAGAATTAATTAAGTATCAATATCTCAGACAAGAATCAATGCAGGGAGTCAATTACGCCAAATTTGCCGCACATCGTTTAAATAATGCAAAATACTGAAAAAACACAAGTTGTGTAAACAGTTACTTGACATTCAAAAATGATGTGGGATTTGTTTTTGTCAAATTTTGTGTTCTTCTTTCAATAATTTTATAATGTTTTTTTATGTTTATATTCCTAATAGACTAATTAAAAAATATACAGTGAAATTCCCCTAACTCGAATCGTCAAAGGGACGGCAAAGGAAGACATTTATTATTACAGAACTGTCTTTTTAAGTTGTCCTTATTTTTTAAAACCGTTAATAAGGTGTTACAAGGAATTCCATATTTTTCGGCTATATCTTTTTTCTTTTTTGTCACCTTTTTCTACTTCACTAATTAAATTGATTTTTTCCGGGATTGTCAAACATTTCAAATTTCTTTTACTCATGTTTGTGATTGAAAGTCTACTGCTTCACTGATAATGAGCACAACTTCATCATTGCATTAAGGAAATTTACAATAATAAGAGCAGTTTTTAGCCATTTTAGTGTCGCTGAAAGTTAGAATCCAATAATGTCGCGTAAGTTAGAAAAGTAGATGACAAAAGTATTTGAAAATATAAAGGCAAAACCAAAAATTCAAGCTGTGGAGATAAATTTAAAGGGAAATGCTAAAAAGCTATGTCAATTTTTAGTTCGAGTTAAGGGAATTCGACTTATGGAGAAAAAAAGCCAAGGAAGAGTTGTTGAAAATTCAAAGTTCGCACATAGGAGTTCGAGTTGTGGAATAATTCGACTTAGGGAACTTCGAGTTAGAGGAATTTCTTCGTATAAAATAAAAAACATATATACTAAAACAAAAAGTTGTCTTTTTTTGAATAAGATATTGAAATTTTCAATTTTTTTTGAATGTGTAAACTTATACTTGACAAACTGTATATACCATATGTATATTAGGGAATCCTAAAAAAATCAAATTCTGTTTTTTTTCAACGCCTACCCTGTAATTATGTTTGAATGGTGTCAAAACAATTGTAAATAAAATTTTATGTATTTAAAAATAAAAGAACCGGTGCCGACTTGCCGATACGTGTCAGAACTTGCATCCTTTGGCGCATTGCAGCGACCTTATCGAAGTGTTTGTTATTATTTGTTTGTTTTAGTAGTAAACGCATTATTTTCATTTACTCAATATGTCAATGGGATTACAAAGTTTTAAAAAGGGAATATTTTTAATTGGGGATGTAAAATATCAAATCACTGGTTCAAAACTTCCCTCTAATGGATAAGTATTATACCAACTAAAGCTTTACCTAACTGTGTTAAGAAGCTAATTACATTGTACCAAGTTTGGAGAGGTTTGCAGAAAAATGCGAACAAAACGCAAGGCGTGTTCGAACAGCGTTGATAATCTTGCAGCGTCAGAGAGAGCCAGGTCGATCTGGTCACTTAGCTGGAGTGGGTAAAAAATTGGCCGAAAACGAGGAAAAAGCGCGTTTTTAAGGAACAAAAATGTCGTGCTAATTATTGTTTATTCTTAACTGCTTCGATGTTATCTTATCAAGAAAATATGTCTTCTGATTCTGAAATAATGAATTTACAATAAAATTTAACCATTCAAACTGGGAGTGCACAGTCCGATACTAATAAAACTTCTATGAGGAAAAAAATTTTATCACTCCAAAGTCAGTGGCAGCTTTAGATAGGTCTCAGTTAAGTATGAGAAATTCTGTATTTACTATTGAAACTACTATTGACGCACATGGATACAATACTGAGGAATTTCCTATAAGCAAGTCCTCCATTCAAAGAATTCGTACAAAAAAACGGAAACAGTGTACAGAAATTATAAAAGTCGATTTTCTAAACGAAGTACCAGACACTGTAACTGCCCATTGAGATGGTAAATTGTTGCCGGCTTTAGATGTGCGCAAATGTGAAGAAGAACGACTCCCGATTGTTATATCGTATGGTGATAACGAAAAATGTATTGCGGTGCTAAAATTAGACAATTGTACAGGAAGTGAACAGGCGAAGGCATTTTGAAATGCGGTTACTGACTGGAACCTTAAAGATAAAGCGCAAATCCTTTCTTGTGATACTACTGGTTCCAATACTGGTCGTATTAATGGTGCTTGTGTGCTTCTCGAACAAAAATTTAATCGAGATATGCTTATTTTTGCTTGCCATCATTTGATATTAAAAGGCGTATTTGAAGCAAAAATTAGTCAAGTTACCGACAACCCTAACATTCCATTATTCAAAAGATTAAAAGAAAACTGAAAAAATATCGATCCAAAGAAAATATAGTATCCTACAGAAAGTTTATCTTGCCTGAATGTTATAGAAATTGACAAACTGCTAGAATTTTATTGCACTGAATTGACTAAGAAAATTGTTAGAAACAACTATAGAGAATTAATAGAGCTTTCAATAATATTTTTTGGCGGAGATTCAGAAAAGAAATTTAAGATGCGGCACTGTTAGACGTCTGTCTGTTCATGGTGACCTTCTTTGTCAAACCTTGATTGCAATGCATTTTAGTGGTAAAAGCACCTTACCAGGATTTGTGTTTTCTGAAGACCATGTAGATTTATAAAACAATTGACAAAATTATCTCAAAAACCGTTTTACAAAAGTTCTGTCAGTATTTATGGCATTTAATTGTAACTGTCTTGTCTCTATTTGACGATGATATTGACCATGAAAGAAAGGCAGAAATAATTAATAACTTAGCCAAAGAAAACCCATCAACCCACAGTAAACGATATATCCCTTCAAAAGAAAAACTTTGTGGTTCACTTTACGAGAAAAACATCGATGAATTTGTTTCATTCAAAAGCAAGGCTTTGTTTAATCGACTCAAAATTGATGATAGTTTTCTAAACGAATGTTCTACTTCATCGTCTAGTAATGCTTCATTTCAACACACTAAGAAAAGAAAAGTGATTTTGTAATCTTAGTGAATGTCTTGATTATATTCCACTTCTTTTCCAAAATTTTAATGGGTAGTTCAACAGGTATATTCGGAAATAAGGATACTACATCGAAGGATACCATTATTTCATCATCGAATATATATGAATTACTGACCTTATTTTTGAAATCAATTGCGTTTTTAACATTATAAACCGAATGTATGGTCAAATTTTTTTAAAATTGGAGCTATATATCGACACAATTCGTACGATGGTGAGTTTACTGAAGTGCAAATAGGCCTAGTGGCATATTTTTATTATGTGTTTTAGGTTACCCATATATTCTGGGTTGGCTGTATATGTACATAATTTTAGTTTTTCTGTTTTATTTATTATCTGATTATTAAAAAGTTTTTTGACTATTGTATTATTTTTTGTTTGTAACGTTGAAGTTATATCTCTTCTGAGTATTTGGTATGTCATAATATCATTCACTATGTTTTTAATTTCTTTGTCTTGCCTGATAATTATTAATTGTAATAATAAATACTTAATCAATATAAGATACAGGTAAAATAGTTAGGGTGTTCACGGAGCACTGGTTATCGGGTTATGTGGTGATAAAATGAAAAGTTACCTGTGAGCAGACTTTTACGTAGGTTATATGGTTATTTTTATACAATCAGCTGTTCTTTGTTTTTGTCGTCAGTACAAAGAAATTTAAATTTCAAAATGCCTGAAAAGGGTATAAAAAAATCAAATTATAGACGCAAAATTTTGCGTTTTTGGATTTCTCCTAAAGGGCCTTTAGAAGGATTTGTCTTTTACCTCAAAATAGGCTTTAGTTTCAGCAATTACTTCTTCATTTGAGATGAATTTCTTGCCGGCGTCTTGGTAAAACAAAAATTTTTTCTTCGCCATATACCGTCGTTTTTTTACAATTTCTGCTTTCAAACGATCCAGTAATGCCGCGTAGTAGTTACTATTGATAGTTTTCCCTTTTCGAGATAGTCAATGAAGATTATACCATGTGTATTCCCAAATACTGAAGCTATAACCTTCCCAGCTGACTGTTGTGCCTTTGGACACTTCGGACTTGGTTCACCGGCTGCAGTCCACTCAGATGATGATCGTTTTGATTCCGGAGTGAAGTGATGGATCCATGTTTCATCCATTATCGAGGCAAAAGATCTGATTTATTACGTGTAAACATGGCCAAACACTGCTCTGAATCATCAACACGTTGTTGTTTTTGATCGATTATGAGTAAACACGGCATCCACTTTGAAAAGAGCTTTCTCATGGTCAAATGTTCATGCATAATTGTAAACACACTACCTTCTGATATCTTTACGCTCTCAGTTATCTGCCGCAATTTCAATTTACGATCAGATATAACCAATTTCTGGAATTTTTTTGATGTTATCTGGAATAACCATCTCAATTGCATAACCACAACGTTCACCATCATCGGTGTCTGTACGACCACGTTTAAATTTAGCAAACCAATAACAAATGGTTCTTTTCGATGGAGCAAAGTTCGGATAATACTTTTGAAGTCATTGCTGAGCTTGTACAGTAATTTTTTTCATCAAGAAGCAATGATAAATTAGCACACGAAATTGTTTTGATTCCATTGTTTTGAAAATAACAAAAGTAGCTTCACTTAAATAGCTGTCACTTTTTTCCTGACTAATCGAAATGTTATGAAATTTTACACATAGTCTTTTGAAGGTTGGTACTTCATAAACGTCATATGGATTTGTCAATGGCAGCGTCATCTGTGTGTTAGTCACACGACTTATTGAGTGATGTAATATTTACTGAATAAACACGAAAGTCTAAAATGTTTTCTATAGTTTCTATACAAACTTTCTATTAAAAGTTTGAGATCAAGTCGGTACGGGTTTCGTTATACGATACCAATAATATTTATTATTTCAGCTACTAGGATCAAATAGAAAAAAAAATAAGGGGAGTGCGTATTTCAAATCAAAAAAAAATTTCCTGATACCCTAGAACATCCTAATATATATAAATATTATTATTATTATTATGTATTATATATATTAATCATATATATATATATATATATAATTATTATTATTATTATATGTCATATATATTAATCATATAAATATATATATATATATATATATATATTATTAAAGTATATATATATATATATATATATATATATATATATTAGGGTGTCCCTTAAATGGCTGAAAAAAATTTTTTTTAGATATCGGAATGCATACCTCCTATTTCTTTTTAAACGGTATAAATCATATTGAACCAAAAAATAAAGAAATAAAATAATTTTGTAAAGATTTATTAAAAAAATATAAAGAAATTCTTGAAATATCGGAGGATTTATAGGATATTTATTAATCTTTCTAAAACACATACAATAAGTGTTAATATTTTTATTAAAAAAGGTAAACAAATTATTGAAGGAGTACCAAATAATAATCAATTTAAAAATCCTAGACTAGACCTAGACCTAGACTTACTTAAAAATAAAATTTGATCTTCCTACGTCAACGTTAACACGTACCGACAGAATTCTGAAGATTTTGAAAATTGTTGTTTTTAACCCTTTCCGCTATATACGTAAATCAATTGAAATATTAAAATTTTTATGAAATATTTATTAAAAGAAGATAAAATTACAGATTAGGCAGGATATTTCCTTTTGAGGGTCTCTTTTTTTTACATTCTGGATACAGATTTCTGTGCTCCTGAACACAGCGTAGCAAAAATTGCTTTTGCTTTTCCTTTGCAATGATCGAGCCATGAAAATCTTGCATAAGTTTTACAGCTCTTTCAGCCGTATTATTAACTGCTCTTAAGGAAAGCACTTTCCTTTTCGTCTTCCAATAGGCAACATCTTCATCCCATTTAGAAACGGGTCTCTGGAAGACATTTTTATCAATTTTTAATCGAGAAAATAAATTTGTGATCTTGACAGACGCAAAATCACTTAATGACTTTCCTGCAACAATAAATAAGGCAGTATTATTAACAATTTATTGAAAACAGTATAAAAAATAGTACTATTTATTGTATTCTTACTTACTATACAAATAATTAGACATATCTTCTTCAGATGGGATGTATCTCTTCTCAGAATCATACGAACTCTCTCTTTGCGAACTCACTACAATGTTCGTTTTGGTTTGTTCATTAACTTCATCATCAAAGAGCGATAAAACGGTAATTTCTTCTGGCAAGTACAAAAGATGTTGACTGAACTTGCTCAGGGCTGCTTTGGAGATCAATTTGTCAACAGTTTCATATTACTTAAGCTTCTTTGAAAAACATAAATCTTGATTTGGTGCCTTTACCGCCAGACTACATTCAAGCCATGGTTTTGTATATAAAACAGCAATGAATAATCAGATGTCTTGAAGTACTCGCTTATCCTTGACGCTAATTTTGAACTGGGATTGTAACAAACATATCTTTAAAGAGTAAATAGCTCTAGCTATCCTGGTGGTCTAATTTTATTTTTTTTCCACTGTCTCCTCCTACGAAAATAATAGATAGTTCAATCAATTCTCGATAATCATCACGTCCAATGGTTTTTTGCAGTTCTTGATTATAAAATGTCAACAAATCTTCTATTGCTGTATTAAAAAATGTCGTGTGAAGATATCGGTATATGTTTCAACGGCAACAGGATCAATAGTTTTCCAGTTGTCTCTTAACTTTTTAAAAAGTGGGATATCGGGGCTACTTGTGACTTGGTGAATTTTTGTTTCGAACACACATTTTAAAACCAGTTCATAAACGTGATGGAGGCAAGCAAAAAGTAGTAATTCCCTGTCTAATTTTTGTTCCAAAAGTACACAAGCTCCTTTCAATCGCCCTGTATTAGACACAGTTGTGTCACAGCACATTATTTGTACTTTGTTATCGAGGTTCCAGTCATAAAGTGCGTTCAACATAGCTTCAGCTTGATCCAGGCTGGAAGAGCTTTCAAGTTTGGGTACAGCTAGAAGTTGTTCCTTTTCTTCAAATGAAATTAGAATTTGCAAGCGATCTTCTGCAGAACTTCTCATGTCAAGTGCAGGTAATAATTTCCCATCTCAGTGAACGGTCACCATTTCAGGCATATTATTCTGAAAATTTGATTTTATAGATTCCGCTTTATCTTTTCGGTTCTGTGTGCGAATACGTTGAATAGACGATTTGTTTATCGGAAAATCATCACAACTAAGATCTAGTGCTTCTACTAGAACCTGAAGTGTATTAACAGAATCCCTTATGCCTAATTAACATCTATCTAAAGCTGCAACTAACTTAGGCGTGATAAAGTTACTTAGGCGTTTGCTATATGAAATAAATTATCTAAATTGTTCTTAAAGTCGTCCTCACGACGCTTGTAAATATCTTGTGTTTTTTTAGAATTTATTTGCAACACCCTCCAAGCATAGTGAAGATGCACAAGTTTTTTTTTACACAGTTAGGTATGGCTCTGGTAGGGATTCTAGTTTTTTTCCAAAATATAATACACTCCCGAATAACGAGATAGCGCTTTCACTAACAGTCAATTTAACTACGCGAATGTTAAAAAAAGTACCGCAAGAACTTGACGATTAGACGGTAACTTTGCGCCTGTTATTTGATAATTTATGTCACAAATTAAGAAAACACATTTTTTATTGCTTCTTAATTCCACTGCCATACTTTAAATGTAAAACAATACGTGTTAATCGCGAGAACAATTGAAAACAAATGACAAATGTCTTGAATATGCACCGCTACTGCCGATCAGCACGGGTTATCGTACTCTAAATAAGGTAAACGTTTTTTTCCGAGTGTTTTAGAGGCAAATGAACAAAACTAAGACCTATGCGTTAGAAATTTAAAACTTTGAAAAATAAGGGACACCCTAATATATATATATATATATTATTATTATTATTATTATTATTATTATTATTATTATTATTATTATATATTATATATATTAATCATATATAAATTATTATTATTATATATTGGTTTATATATTATATATATTAATATAATATAATGAATGTGTGTATATTATTATAATATATAAATATAAAACGGAAAAATTTTAGTATCGTAAAAATGAAATCATAGAAAATCTTTTCAAGTTGGAAGTCAAATCTAGGGCTTTAGTATTTGGCGTTTCCTTACTAGTAGACAGCACTCTTCTGAAGTTTGCAACTTATTTTTGCTATAATAAAGAATAAAAAAATCAACATTGTTTCCATTATTTAGTTTATATATATTATCATTTTTATTAATATGAAATCATAAAATTTTTAATTCCGTTTAAAATATGTATATTATTTCAATTTTAATAACAATATTATTATGTATATAAATTTTTTTTAGGTGACCAAAATTGTTGTTCCATTTGCCAAACGTGCCCGTCATATTGATATGAAGAACTTAAAAACAAGCTGCAAATCTTTACTGGATTTACAATTAAAAGTTAGCGCAAAAGAAAAAGCAGATAACAAAAAAAGTAGTGACCAAGAGGAAAATAATGAACTAAATTATTTAACCGGTCCTGCAGGTGAGAAGTATGAAGCAGGCCAAGCTTCTTTTGAAAAAATGTATTCAGCGTTGCCTGAAGTACTATCAAAACCAAATGCAGCATCCTTAACACCTATCATATCATTTTACTCCCTACTACATCTAGCCAATGAGAACAATTTACGATTGTCTGAAGTAAACGATTCTCAGGGTGTGATTATCAGAAAAATACAAACGAAAAAATAAATGGAAGATAATCCTCCATCAAATTGTTAAGTTCAAATGTTTGTAGTAAGTTAGCTTGAATTATAGTTTTTACAAATCACCCTCACAAATTAAAAAAAGTAATTAAGTAAAAAATTAAAAGTAATTAAACTTATAGTTTGTATAAATATTCACTATTTTCGTTTCTTAATTTATTCAAAATTATTTTATATATTAAATTACCAAAATTCGGCGTAATTGTCGGATGTCAATATTTTCTTGTTTTATTTAATTACAAATTTTTTATTATTATTGTAAATTTTACTATTTTTTTTATAGTAAAAATTTATAATTTATTTTTTGTGCCCCATTTGTGAATATGTATTATTTGTTGCTATTGTGGAACGTATTATTTCTTTCCTCCGACTTATGATTTCTATCATAAAATGGAGTTCTTTCTCTATAAATCTAGATTAAAATTATTACAAATGTGAAGGTCTCGTGCAACCGCATTAAACTAAAGTAGTTTCTGTAAATCACAATGTGAACCTTCGAGCCCTCAAGGGGAGTGGCGAGTTGTACTTGCTATTATATATTGATGAATGGGTCAATGATGTATACCCGATTACTTCAAAAATAAGCTTAATTGGATATGTGTTATCAATGACTAAGTATGTTGTGAATCGAAGAAACAGGCTCAGTTTTGTTATTAATCATAAAATAGTCTTTTTAAAGTTGACTGACTTTATCAGGTGTCGTATTTAGTTTACTAGGACCAAATGCTTCATACAGATGCCTCTGTAAACTTATTTGCATAAATACTTGGTTAATTAATTGAAATATTGTGCATATTCATTACGAATAAGTACTTGTAAATCCAAGACGGCACAAATAATCTCTAGTCGTTTAGATAAGATGATATGTCATATCATATATACATCATCATATAACTTTCAATGTAGATATGTAACTATTACTCTTACATATTGTCAGTATGCGTTTCATGAAATAAATCTCGGGGATATATTTTTGTGCATTTGCCTCCCATATATGATAACTATCATTTATTGGTTTGCGTGATCCAACCATTATATTATTAGTGACAATTTCGAATAGTAGTGGATACTTTTTTAAATAAAATAATTTCGTGTATTTTCTTAACATTTCATCCGTACGCTTCGAGCGCTTGACTAAAGCGTTGTCCAACTTGTTGTACAACCAAATCTCATGTGTATAGCGTGTATTACATATGAATCTTATTTGTGAAATGCAGAATTTGTGCCAAATCTAATGGGTAATAGCAACATTTGAAGTTTGACAAAAAGTTTTGATGGAAATCAAAAAATTTTGTATTTTCCTTATACTTACTCATGTTTTTCGCATACAATTGAATTTTTGTTGACTTACATGCAAAATTTCATTCATTTTAAGGAATAGAAGCTTCATATAAAAGCTTGCATGATTTTATTTTGTAGTCTATTTGTTGTTTTTTTTTTTTTGCTGGGGCATGTTCAAAATAATGCCGACTATTTTAATGTGTAATAGCAAGCGACGACAAAAAAGTTTGACAAAAAATTCTCATGTGTAATACGGGCTTAATACTAGTGAATACTAGTGTCTTGCTGATTATCATTGAAAAGGTGATACGAATGAAAAAGTATCAAATTGTTTGATATCAAATTATTGTTCATTGATTTGAAATGATTTTTCTATTATTGATTTGATATTGGTTTTCTATTCAATTATTTCGAGTATTTTATACATTTAAAAGTAAAAGCAAGTAATATTTATTTAAAAAATTCTTGCAACACCTATTGTATGTAAATTGTAATACGCTAGAACCATATTCGGTACTCAATTAAATGTGGTAACATATTGATTTTTAAAACTAAAAGATACAACTTCAACATTAAACATAATTGACTGATAATTAAACCATTTAAAAATAATTATATGTTTTAAAATATGTATTTGAATTTATATATATATATATATATAATTTACCAAAAAAATTGTTTTATCTATTTAACTATAATTGAACATATGTGGTATTCCTTATTATTATTACTAATGTAAATATTAATTGCATGTATAATATTAATATTAGAAATATAAATAATATTAACATTACTCGTATATATAATAGTAATATTAATTGTATATATAATAGTAATATTTATTGTTTAGCATTACAATTATATACAATTTAAATTAATTAAGTATTTCAACATAATTATAAAAAACAACGATAACCGGTGAAAAAGTGAAGTTCTTTCTTATGTAATATAGAAATAAAATTATATTAATTTGAAATAATAGATTTCTGTAAGAAATTAACACTTACACTTATATAGAAATTTTCTATATAATAATTAAAATATAATTTTAAAAATAAAACTAGAAATATAATAATAAATCAATTTTATATATTTTCTTCTAAATTCAGTTTTTTGTACTTTATTTATATCATGTAAAAGCTTATACACATATAATAAGTTATAAAAAAAACTTAAAAATTAAACATTTATAAATTTATAACTTTTTGATCTTTTTATTTGTTTTACATTGGCGACATTTCGACACTTTTATGGCTGAATTGTCTTGATAACCGTTAGAATAAACTTAGTACAACTTAGTACATTTTGCTTCAAAACTATCTAGAAACTATAAGCAAAGAACAAATATAAAATAATACACTTGGAATTACTAATTACTATATACACCATATTAGTAGGAGTTAGTATGGCGACACACTAACTCCTACTAATATTCAAGAAGAACTATGTATGAAATTTGAAGAAAGCGATTTTAAGGTTTGAAACAGTCAGGCAGGCAATGGTACAATAAGCTAGATGTATGTTTGAACTAAATAGGTTTGATGCCTTCAGATGCCGATCCATGTATGTACTGAAAATAATTTACGTCGATGATATAATGATAGCATCAAATAATGATAAGGACTTGATTAAATTGAAAACGGATTTGGTAAAATTTTTCAAAATAAGTGATTTGGGGTTGCTCAAACATTGTTTCAGTATAGAAATCACAAGTTAATTATATACGTGCATTTTGAAAACGTTTTAACATGCACATGAATCTAAATTAGTTAAAAAACCAATCAACGTTAACGAAAAATTATTGAAAGAAATGCCTCCAAAATCAGACAGTGAGCTAGATGAGATAAAAAATGTGCCATATCTAAATTTAATTGACAGTTTAATTTATTTATCTACATCAACGCGTCCAGATGTTGCTCATGCTGTAAGCACATTGAGTCAATATAATGCAAAATTTGGTAAGTAACATTGGATCAGTGGTGACGCGTGCCCTATCTGGCAGGATATGCGGCACTTCTACAATGTTGTTTTTACATGTACCACTTAAATTAAAAATGATAAATTAAAATATATAAGCAGGCCTATTCTGAATACTCCCAGGGAACAAAACTTCCTATTCCCACGTTGTTCCCAAACACACAATTCCCTTATTCTGAATTGCTTGGGAGACAGCAGTTTTGGGAACAACAACAGTTTCAAATTTGTTTTGTTAAATTTTGGCAACCATGCCACTTTTTAATGACGAAAAGTGCGAAAATGAGCAAATCAAAGAAAAGAATTGCGTATCATATGTTGATTTAAATGTAAATCGCATTATTTGTTTGCTGCACAAATTATCGGAAATAAATATTAGTTATTTTATGAGTAAATAATAAATAATGAAATAATAAATAATAAAAAACTTTTATTTTAATGAGTAAAATAAATATATAAAAAGAATTGTGCATGAGCAAAATAAACCAAATGCTAAATTCTAAATTTTTAACTCTTTTTTAAACTAATTAAAAAACAACCTTACGTTATGATATCAATTCTTCAATGTCTTTATTTTCAAACATTCACTGCTTTTATACAAAATTGGCGTAAATTATAATTTAATTTTTTTATATAATTAGGATAGAAATGTCCTTCATGCTTCAATTAATGAACTAATAATAGTTTATAATTGTGCAGATGTTACAATAAAATAGAAGCAATGTTTTACCTGCACATAATTGCAAAAGTTTATTTTAACTTATTCTAGGAATCCCATTTATTTCAGAATTTGGTCTCCTTTCATTTTTCTATTGTTTTAAAAACAATAGTTAACACTTTAATTAGTGAAAAAAACCCGTGTTAATAAAATAAATAAATAAAAATTTAAATATTTCAAATTTGTTATAATTTTATTAAAATAATAATTTTAATAAAATATATTAAATGAAAATTTTGTTATATTAAATTTATTAAAATAATTTTATTAATATATATGCGGAAAACTAATCAACTCTTGTGGATAAAATATAAAAATAAAACTTTGAAAATATTAAATTTATTGTAATAATTTTATTAAAATATATTCAAAAATCTGATCATTTTCAGTTACTTTTATATTAAATTAAACTATTTTTAATACTTTTTTAACTTGTCTCCCCAACAATTTGCTTGGGAAAGAATTTGTGCAAAATTGGGAAAAAACTCCCATTCCCATGCGATTCAGAATAGCAAAATTGGGAACAGGGAATAAAACTCCCATTCCCAAATTATTCAGAATAGCAAACTTGGGAACAGGGAACAAACTCCCATTCCCATGCGATTCAGAATAGGCCTGAAGATGTTTTATTAATAATAAATGTATTACATTAGGCAACAATATATTCACAATATAACATTTAATAATTCATTAACAAAATAACATATTAAACAAATTAAATAAATAATTTATATATAAGTTTAATATTATACCAATATGAAATAAATACAACTTTTCACATATATCTTATAACATCAAACCAACTTTTTTCAAACAAAAGAGTTTGTACTTAGAACCTTGCAATGTATAAATGTGCGGCCAGCTACTCCGCACACAAAGCGGTTATTATTCGCTGGAACAACAGCTAAAAGGTGACATCTAACCACAAGTTTAGCACATCGGCAAGTCAACATGTTGAATTGTTATGCATGTAGTTGATATTCGAATAGAACAGAAAATACTCCCATACAATTCCCAATCTCTATTTCTCATATTTTAAGCACATTATTTTGTTCATTCTACTTTTGTGCACACTTATGACAGAAAATTATGAATGCAATTGCTTAAAGGGGAAAGGCGAA